GCTCGGGCTGCGGGGAAATCACGGCCACTGCGAGGGCCGGGGCCAGCGTGGAGGAGCCCGCTTCTGGGGAGCCAGAGTGCTGTGGCAGGGGACTCGGCCTGCAGTGCCTGTCCCTCCTTGTCCAGCTCCCAGGCTGCTGGGTGGAAGGCAAATCACCTGTGTGCTGTGTTCCGCTCTGGCTGAAGCAGCAGGGGTCTCCTCGTCACCCCCACTGAGCTTGTGGCTCTCCCTCTGACTGGAGCTAGGGTGAGAGCTTGCCTCAGAGAGGAGGTGATTGTGCGGGCAGCTCTGTCCCAGAACACTTTACTACACGTCGGGTTTAATTAGACCCAGACAGGAAGGTTGAGGGCACACTCTATTTTACCTAAGACTCTCTCTTTAAACCTGGGGCACGCTATCATCTATAACTATCACAAGCGTTGGCCTATTCCAGGCCGTCACTTTCAAGCAAACCTGTTTCATTTGTACAATGACAAAAGATTTGGAAAATGAAGGCAAGGTTTACGATAAGAGCGGAAGATAAACGCAGGGAGGAAAGCACCCGCTGGTACGTGAGCTGTCCTTGTTCCGCTCGGAGACCTTCCTCAATCCCTCCCGCAGGCCTGCTCATTCTGCCTCTCTGAGCACCAGTGCAGGGTGCCGAGACCGAGCGGATGCCCGGGCTCGCCCCAAGGGAGGCCGCCCAGCGCTGCGCGGCTTCAGCGGGTGAGGACGTAGGTGCGGTCCCTTCAGCAAGGCTCTCTGAGCACTGACAAGACTTCATGCCCCAGCAGCCTGGCTTATGCAGTTTAGTCCTGGAACCAGACTATGTAATGATTGCCCTTTAAGGTAACCAATACACATTTTCACTTAGTTACATGCCACAATGATTATGATTAATAGTCATTAATAACACCACAGATGTTATAGGGTTATTTTAAAAAGAAGCTTACAAGCTCTAGAGAAATGCCATCCCACTTCTAATCTTTAGCCATTCTTGAGTAGCTGGGTTTGCCTCCGGCTCTGATCACAGGTATGTGACAGGCAAGGCCAGCATGAAGGGCAAGGGAGATGGCAAGAGGAAAACCTGCAGCCGAGGAGCAAAGAGGCACAGAAGACCGTGGGGACCTGACTGCTAGGTGCTCGCAGGCTGGGCGAGTTCTGACTACTGGCCACACCGCCCATGGTCTCTGCAGTGACCTGTCCTGTTCTTGATTTTAAAGGCTGCAGGCCTCGGGCTGGTAAGATAGCTCTGAGGTCTAAGTGCCTGCCTGGCAAGCACAAGGTCCCGAGTCCCATCCTTAGTATGCACGCCCTGCTGGCCCCGAAACTGGGTGTGGTGGCGCAGGCCTGTAATCCCAGCACTGGGGAAGCAGAGATGGGAGGGTCTCTATGAGTCTGAACTGTATAGTGAGACCTGATGTCAAATAAATAAATAAAAAGTTGGAGGCTGCAGGCCTTGGTGTGGCTGGGACCTGCGTCGGGACCTCTTTCGGCTGCCTCGTGGGCTTGCTGGGGCTGTAATAGCCTATTGCCTGCTTCAGATTCAATGCTGGGAAAGCAGCGTCCACAGCTGGAGGTGCCCGGGGCGGCTTCTGCAGTGAAGCGGCTGTGTGTGCACAGTCACTGTTGCCGGGCTGGCACTGCCCACCACCTCTTGGCCCTCTGAGGGGAGGGGACCTCACCGTGGGCGACAGGAGGCAGAGGCTGAGGTGGGGGCCTCGGCGAGGCGGACAGAGCAGGGGCTCCAGTCCTGTAAGCACTTGGGCCCAGTATAGGCAGCACCCTACTCCGTGTCGAGCTGCTGGTCTCCACACAGCAGGCCCAACTGTGGCGCTTCCATACAGCTCAGTACTGGAAGCGTAAACACAGGGAAAATGCTCCGAGAACGGCGGCGCTGGGATCCCAGCACAGCAGGACAGAGCCAAGACGAGAGGTTTCCCAGGCGACTTACAGAGAAGTGGCTGGCTAACATGGGGACAGCCGTGTGGAGAAATGCACTGTGGAACTGCCTGGCTTCACAAACTCTCGGCTACACGTCCATCATTAATGCTAATGTTAATATCCACAGAAAGAGTAGGAAAACAAGGAAGTTAAACTTCCAATACTCTTCAAATTTGTCTTTTCAAAGTCACTTTGATTAAAGCTAAGTAGTCATTATAGTAGCTCTGTTATTAATTTGAATTAGAATTGATCCTAAGGGTTTCCAATTGTTTAACTTTTGATCCAGTTTTTAAAATATCGAAGGCATCTGGCCGGAGCAAGCTCCTTCACAACTGCATATTAACTACGACTGGGGGCGCTGTCTTGCAGTACTACCACAGACAGCAAAGCAAACAGAAGAAGAGCCCAGAACACAGAGCCCAGGGTCGCCGGAAGTTGGCTCAGCAAATGTCTCTGAAACGTGCCTGAGTGGCTGCCATCAGCTTTGGGGGCACGATGTACTCGCACACCGGTGGGGAGGCGCAGTGCAGCGTTTCTAACGCAGCTCCTCCTGCAGGGAAGTTGCAGAAAGGCACAGCAGCCTGAAGGAAGGAGTCCTGTGCCCGCCGCTGCCTGGGAGCCCAGGCTGGGCGAGGGGCCGGGGCGAGAGCCCACAGGCAGGCCAAGCACCGGCCTGCGTGTCCAGATAAAGCCCGCCGCCCAGAGGAACAGGCTGCCCGAGCCAAGGCGCAGCAGAGATGGCGCGAGTGTGCAGGGAGCTTCGTCCACTTGAGGCCGGTGGCGCTCAGCTTTCTAAGAACATTTTGGGCCTGGCTGGAGAGACAAGGTTGAGCAGAGAGGTGAGATGGGCCTTCTAGAGGCCAAAATACCCCAAACTCAAGGCTTTGAAAAGTGCATATGAATGAACGAGTCGCTCTGAGAAGCTCTATCTCCTCTCCATGGGCAGGAAGCCACATCACAGAGCCATATTGAATAGATTGCTTGGGTGAGGCGGTTTTAGGAGGATACGTCTCAGGAAGGAGAGAGAAGGGGTGCTTGGTGCTGGGAGGACAGGATGAGGGATCCAAGCTGGGTGGGAATGGGTCTCAGAAGCCCGGAGGAGAAACCCTCAGAACCTGAAACTGCTGGAGGGTGGGCGAGGAGGAGAAAGGCGGAGTCCAGAGCCAAGTGGGCCAAAGACCCAAAGGGGGACCCTGAGGTGGAGTGCAGCATCGGGGCAAGTCTGAGCCAAGAGATTTGTGGGGTTGGAGTGGGAGCCCGGGTTGGACACCTGGCGCTGGTCATCTGCATGAGCCTCAGTAGGGAGAAAGGTCACGCAGGAGACCTTGCAGGATGGGAGAAGCGCTGTGTGGCGGGACCAGAGTCAGCAACAGAAGCACACTGGAGGAAGAGGGAAGCAAGTAGTATGGCTGAGAACACGTGAAAAAGAAAGACAGTTAGGGGCCAGCCAAATAGCTCAGCGGACTAAAGCACCAGCTTAGGCAGACGCAGGGCCAGCCGGAGTTCCATCTCTGGTGTGCCGAGCTGGCCCCGCCCACGGGGTGCGCTGAGACAGCGATTGAGACTGGGCGTGGTGGGGCACGCCAGAAATCCCAGCTCTTGGGAGGCTGAAAACAGGAGGATCACTATGAGTCCGATCTACGCAGTGAGACCCTGTAGTCCCCGTAGACCCTTACTAAAAATTAAAAAAAGAAGAAAGAAAGGCAGAAGGAAGAAAACCAGAATGCGAAGGAGGAGGGGCTAAAAGGGGAAGGATGACAGATCCTAAAGTACAGACTTCATAAAATGGGCAGAACAGAAATTACTGGACTTTACCAGTGAAAATCAGGGTGCCCCCAGCAGGCCTGGGTCCAAGGAGTGGCAGGAGTTCCCACAGCAGGAAGCGAGACCCAACGGGAGGAAAGAATGTGGTGGGGTGATCAGGGCCCGTGAGTGTCCCCCGCCCCCAGAGCTCTCACTGTCCCGTGGACTGCGTGGAGTCACCGGGATTTTGGAGTCAGCTGACGAGTCTGGCAAGATGGACAGAAATGAGTAGGTCTGCAGGACCCAAAAGCGCTCTGCAGGAGCAAGGGGACAAGCAGCTCTGCCTGCCTTCCACCAGGCTTCGCACGCGACAGGCAGAAGGAAGCACGACGTCCAGGCTGAGGCACGACAGAGGCCCGCCTGCCGCTTCCGCCACCTTCAGTGGGCCTCTCAGGGCCGGGCTACTTCTGTGTTGGGAGACATTTAGATGCACACAGTAGCCCCTAAAAATGCATTGTCTTTAAAGTATGTAATATAAATTATGACTTATAGAAATATTTAAAGTGTCATTAAAATGATTTTGTAAATCATCCAGAAATCAGCTTATTTCTTTAAAAAATTATGAGAGATCTTGTTAATTTCTGGTTAATGAGAATATAGCTTCCCATATTATAAAATTGCTAAGAACATCATACTTGCTTAACTTTATAAAATAAAACATTAGTAATTAATTTGAACATAAGAATGAAATAATCCAGGTGCACAGCATCTGAAGGGGAGACACAGGAATGGTGGAGATGTGAAACCAAGGCTGACATGGAGGGCTGGCATTTCTCTTGCTACTGTATTTGATTTAATT